TTGAGGACACACTGTTAGAGAGAAACAGGAAATTAATTTTTACGCTATAAACACCCTAAAGAGAAGCAATGACAAAGGAGAGAAGGTATGAACGTTAGAGAGTTTGGACGCAGGTTAGAAGTGCTGTGGGCTTTCACTTTTTGGGGGCAGGGTGTCATCAGAACCAGCATTTGAGTTAAATATCACAAAATGATGAGAATTCTTCTCAGTCATGCACCTTTAAAGATAATGGGACAACAAAGACTGACCACAGTTATGTCAAAAGTCAACTGAGAGTTCACGGTCGGGATCCGCTCTTAACACTATTGCCGTCTGCTGCACAGGGTGCCTGTCTCCAACCACTGTCTCACTCTTGCTCATTTCAGCTTTGCTCTAAGAAATCTCAGGCTGTGTGAATGTTCCAACTTAATCTTTTTCAAGATTGCTTTGAGTCAAATTATATTTTCAAAGAAACAGATGCAACAGATTGGTATTTATGCAGAAATATTTCAATTTCGATTGAGTCGTATTAAATCTATACACTAGGATTTCATTTAATTGATCAATTATTCATAGTTGAATTGCTGGTCAATGCCTTCTCTCCCCTCCTCTTCCTCCTTTCCCTCCCTTCCTCCCCCTTCCTTCCTTCCTTTCCTCCTTTCTTGCTTTTCATCCCCTCTCAATTGCTATCTCAGTTGCTCTCTGCTTCTCCCCTCTCCCCCTGCTTATTTAAATCTTTGGATGTAGAGGTAGGTATCCCGAATTCAATAAAGTTTTTTTTTTCTTTTGTTAATGCATCCAATGAACTACCATTCTATCTATTAGAGATGGGTTCCCTTGTAGAGGACTGTAATATTGATTATGCGCAAAGCAGGCTGTAAAGAATGAACCCCACAAATGGTTTATTTATAGAAGCGAGTCTGCCCAAAGTTTATGTGTGGAGGTCAGAGTAACCTGCACCCAAATTCTGTTCCCACCACTAAAACCTTCAGACTAGAAGGACAATGTTCCAATTACAATCATGCATTTTATCTATTCCTAATTACAGAATGTTTTGTCTTGTCCTTTATGAGCCTTGTTTACATTAATTTCCATAGAAACTACACAGTCGTCATCTTTACCGCAGTTGATTGCCAATAAAAAGCAGTGCCTGGGACTGTCCAACACCCTTGCACCCCCTAGGTTGTCCTAGTTGTCCCACTTTCTCTCTCTTAGTTCTGTCTCTTAGTGTATCTTTTTCTCAGGCCTATGTGATACACTTGCCAGGTAGGTAGTGGAACCTGACTACAGGTGTCTCTAACATTTCCTAAGATAAAATAAGACTTTGTCTCACTCAAAAATTTGATGTTAATCTCTGCCCGAGATCTAATAGCTAATGTTGAGTTACACTTGTTACAACAATTACTTATGCACTGCTCCAGCTCCCCTACCAATGTACCTTCTTCAAGGGTTACAACTTTTCTATTAAATACTCAGCGATCTTAAATGTATTTCTCTTACAAATAAACACCGTAGTTCACTGAAATTTAAATCAGCAAGGTACAATTATGAAATAACATGCATTGTTTGATAAGTCTTTTCTGGTATTATTTTATTTATGTATCTGCCTCAGGATTTTGAGAGAGTTCACAAGTTGTATTCCCAGGGAGAGGAAACTGGGTTGCAGAGAATTTAACTATCAACTCATTATCACATGGATAGTTAGAGTGGAGCTGAGACTATAGCCTGTGTCCTCAGGGTCCCCCCCCCCAATGAGCAATCCTTTTAACCAGAGGCCAAAGTTCCTTCATGAAATAATTTCAACCATGCAGTTCATTGTCCTAGTGTCCTTTACTTGCTAACTTTAGAGAGACAAAACAACTTGATAATTTTCTGTTCAAAAAGAATCTTAAAGCACCCCTGGGGATGAAAATGGAGCTCCCAAAGTGTGAATAAAAACCCAAGTGCACGTAGTTGTGGCCTGACATAACTGAGTGACCCGCTCATTTTCATAGCTGAGAAGGGAGGGTTTCCTCATTTACAGAATATTTTAGAAGCTGTTAACCTTGAAACTGAAACTAAGGTATGAACCTTAATACTTGAAGTGAATAAAGGACTCTAATGAAATCAGAACTGAGTGGTAGCCCTTCTAGAGAATTTCACAGAGAAAGTAGAAAAGAGTTTTCATAGTTTGGTCAGTAGTGCTGCAAAAAAGAAATTTGATTTAATTTCCTAGATGAAAGATAACAGCCAGAGGAGTGGACATTGAATAAAAGACTGAATGTGAAATTTAGGAAAAATCATTATACAGAGAGGAAGTGAACTCTACACCAGTCACTGAATACATTTCATTCGGGGATTATTTTTTAAATTCCTAAATAAAAATCATAAATTCAAATGTGTTTACTACTTGACTAAGTGACAGAGAAGCAAAGTTAATGTTCTTTGGAAAATATCATGGGGCATTTAAACTGTTTCTTTCAAATATTGAATATATTTCAGAATATTGGGAGTTACTGGATTTAAACCTCAGGAAAACATTATCTTAATGTTTGCTGTTGTGCAACAAATGCATATATAAAGAAAAAGAATAAATTTCTTATGTTTTGAAGTCTCTTAATTCTCAATGCCTTTATTAGAAATTAAATTTTATAAATCCTTATTTATTTCATTGCATAAGTAAATTTTTAAAGTATTATTTCAACTCTGTGTCCTTCATATATAATTTAAATTTCATAAATTTCGAGAAGCTACAATTTTGACAAATTATAGATGCTCTAATTTAAAAAAAAGAAGACAGACTTTTCATTAAACAACCATTTGTTTAATAACTGTCATAATTTTATAAAATCTGAGGATGTAAGATACGTGAATCACATAATAAAATCTTTCTCTGAAGCTTTATAATTTAGAGGATGAAAGACACAAAACGAATAAATAAAACTAATTAACAACAAAAAAGAGAAGACTTTTTAGCTTTACAAGGGTGTGAACTCTAAATTATTAAATTGGGATTTTAAGATTCAGCTGTAATTCACATCTGGAAAGTGATGTTTGATTCTAATGTATCTGACATTTCTGCTGTGTACTTTTGTTAAAAAGTATTTTGCAATGGATCACATTAGTAGATCACCTATTAGTACATTCTTCATAATCTGTTTGCACGCATTTCTTTGTGTTTCTTTGCTATCTGCTTAACTCTTGTTTGTCCTCGATGTTTATAGTAAATATTTTGGAAGTATATTCATAGTAGTGTGTGAGACAGAGATAGAAAAGAGAGAGAGAGAAAGAGAGAGGGAGAGAGAGACAGAGAGAGACAGAGAGACAGAAAGAGTATCACGGACTTCAAGATGGAGAATCAAAGCGGAGAGAAGAGTTGGAAAGAGAAAATAATGATTTTTTAAACAGAAATGTATTTTTGTGACATCTAAAGGACACACTGATTTTTACATATATTATCAATTATTTAGAAAAGCTGATTTAGCAGTGTAGTAAAAATAATAACACCTTGTTATTAGAGATCCCTGTGTTTTCTTATGAACTGTATATAGGTGCTGTGAAGAATCTGATGAGCATAGTTTCTGCTTATATTTATATATTTATTATGACATCTGTAGTACAAAGAATATTTCTTGGATCTGAGAGTCAGTATCTGGGGCAATGCGTATCCCTGCTTTCCTGCAACAGTGGTGTGAGTCCATTGCCTTCCGGATGTGTGTGTCTCAATGTGAACAAACTGTACCGTGTTTCAGATCATGACTGAATCATTTGTAAGCTTCTGAAATCACTCCGGACCTCACTATGTCAAGGTTTTTACTCCTTCTAAGAAGTCTTTTCATTTATAAACTACTGAAAGCAAACCAGCAGCTCCATGATGAGAACTTCTCCCAACTGCAGTGGATCCAGTATTTCCATGTGTTTCTACAACTGAGGCTTTCAGTAAGGAACAGGTGACTTTAACTGTTTTGTTGTCAATTCTATATTCATGCATTGTTCTTATTCATACTCTGTGTAATAAGAAAAATTATAAGGATAGCAAGGAAAATCTCTGAGCTCAAATACCAGTATCTGGCAATTTTTAAAAATTTTAGCAATTGCTTCTTCTAAGACAAGTTTTCAAGTGAAATTTATCTCAGAGTTATTTTAGAAATCCCCAAATCAATTACATTATATTTCTCATAGCAATAATTTATTTTTTCAACAAAATATATATCCTAGAGTTATTTCTAAAGTTTTGAAATCAAGTTGAGTACATAAATTGAGGAACATTTCACATTAAGTTAAATTTGGAAAAATATAATGATGCAATAAGATAGTTCAAACAAGTGCGATATGTGTTATGTATTTTGAGAAACAAAACTAAAAAAAATTGGTAGTTATTTCAGTTGCAAATAAGTTGCATTTATTGCCAAACTATCATATCATGTTCTGTTGATGGGAACAATTCAAAGTGGGGACATAAATTTTTTTAAAAAATTTTTTTGAAATCCCATATGATAACTTCACATGTAATCATAAAGTCTCCTTTTCTACTCATCTGGAAATATTTAAAAATATTAATTTTGAGAACTTCTTATCATTTTGATCCCACACCATCTGTGACATAAATGGGCTTGCATTCATTTTAACAGTAAGAAAGAGGGACATTGCTTGTATTTTGTAGAAAATCAAGGACAAATACACCGAGGCATGCTTTCCATTATAATATTTTGATGCTTAAATATTCTTATTCTAACCTTTGTGAATTTCAGAATCACCTTATAGGAGATGGTAGAATATACAATAAAAGTAAATGAACACAAAACCATTCTGTAGGCAACACAGTATTTTGTCATAATAAATTCAGTCAAAAATGATTTACATTATTTTTCTTTTTTTTATACAGCAAAATGCATCCTTTGGGTTCAATTTCTTTGCCACTGGTCATCCCTTGCCTACTAAGGGCATCGCTACTGCATTCTGAAAAACACACGTGTGGGAATGGCTGTATGAATTCCAAGGACAAGAGAAATTCCCGTTAGAACCCATGCATAAAAACTGAAATGGAAGGATCCTCATCACATCTGGATGTACACAATGTTCATTTGAAGAACATGACCGAGGTCACCATGTTTATACTTTTGGGTTTCACAGATGATTGGGACTTGCAAGTGGTGTTATTTCTAGTGTTCTTTGCAATCTATCTTTTTACTCTGATAGGAAACCTGGGACTAGTGGTACTGGTCGCAGGGGATGCCCGACTTCACAACCCAATGTACTATTTCCTGAGTGTTTTATCATCCCTGGATGCCTGCTACTCCACTGTTGTCACTCCAAAAATGCTGCTTAATTTCCTGACAGAAAACAAATCGATTTCATTCCATGGATGTGTGGCACAGATGCTCCTCTTTGTTAGTTTCGGAAGCACAGAATCATTTCTCTTGGCGGCAATGGCTTATGACCGCTACGTGGCCATCTACAAACCTCTGCTGTATTCGGTAAGGATGTCACCCGGAGTCTATGTTCCACTGATCACTGCTTCCTATGTTGGTGGCATTTTACATGCCACAGTTCATACCGTGGCCACGTTTAGCCTGTCCTTCTGTGGATCCAATGAAATTAGGCACGTGTTCTGTGACATCCCTCCTCTCCTCGCTATCTCCTGTTCTGATACCCACACAAACCAGCTTCTGCTTTCCTACTTTGTGGGTGCCATTGAGGTGGTCACCATCCTGATCGTCCTCATCTCCTATGGCTTCATCCTGTTGGCCATTCTGAGGATGCGTTCTGCTGAAGGGAGGAGGAAAGTGTTCTCCACCTGTGGCTCTCACCTAACCGGAGTGTCCATTTACCACGGGACGATCCTCTTCATGTACGTGAGACCAAGTGCCACCTACGCCTTGGAGCACGACATGGTGGTGTCCATATTTTACACCATTGTGATTCCCATGCTCAATCCCGTCATCTACAGTTTGAGGAACAAAGATGTCAAAGAGGCGGTGCGAAGACTCTTTGCAAGGTACTGTTGTAGAAATGATGCACATATTTAGAATCGAGGAAAACCTCACCCTGAATGTATTTTTCTTCATTCTCAAACTGAAAAGGACAATTTCCTGCCTTAAATTAATTTCCAAATAAAGCACTTCCAAAATTTCCACATAAGGCATTTATCTGTTGGTTTTTTCAAATGAAAATTGTGTCACCCGCATCCTGATCACTATGTTTAAAGATACCCACATTAAATATTCTGTAGTATCACTGTATAATTTTCTTGTATAATTTGATTTCCCTTGGCTAGATGCATCCTCCCTTTGTTTGGACGTAGTCTTCAGCACATTGCATCTCCCCATTCTAGAGTCCCTGTGAAGAATTTGATCCTCACAGATGGTTTTTGTATCCCTCTACTTTACATGCTAAGAGCCATCCTGGCTTTTGGTCATGCTGGTTGCTCTATTTCGCTCAATAGCATACAGTTTAATTCAATTATCATATTTTTTTCCAGTTTCCAATCACATAAGTTAATTATATCTGTTGCACATACATTGAAGTGATAATATTCTATATGTAATACAGGATGTACTTAAAATCTGGAAAAATAATGAAAATTTAACTTAGAAACCCTACTTGGTTCAGCCATCTTAGTGAAAAGTCTGGAGCTATTTTAAAAACAAAATAGACTACCATTATGATGCAGCCATACCACTGCTGGGATGTATCTAAAGGAACGGACATGTGAAGAAGACATATGTAGTCTCATGCTCCATCATTCACCATATTTAATTGTGTAAAAAAACCCTACGTGTCCACCAGTGGATGAATGGATGAAAATAAGGTGGCAAATACACACAATCAGTTCCCTTTAAAAAACAAGATTATATTATTTGGGAGGATATGATTTGATGTAAAGAACATTACATGAATGAAATTGGCCACACACAGGAAATTTTAAGGCATCATTTACATGTGGGATCTAAGGAAAGCTGAATACTTGGGAATAGAGACTGAAGTGACCGTTACCAATGCCCCAGCAGCAAAGCATGGAAAAGAGAAGAGAGCTCATATCAAAGCATAAGAGTTTTCAACTAACAAGAGGAGAGAGTCTGAGATCAGGATGCCTACCATCAGTGCATCTGGACTCCACACTCCAAGAGTGTTAAGTTGTGTGAACTCATTAGAAATGCCCCACTAGAAAACAGTACTCAAGAAAAATTTCATTTTAAAAGTTACATTTGAAGTATGAGATTGACATGGCCATCAGTAACTTTCATTCCTCAGCTTCTGAGCTCTCACCATTGATTAGGGAGAGAAAATCCAGCCACACATACCCTGAAGTGAGCATTACTGGTCCCTTCTGTGAATCCCAAGCCAATCTAGTAGACACGAGTAAGGTAAACCATCACACCACCCATTCCATTTCAAGTCCTGCATGGTGGCACTAACAAGTCCCCTACTAATGAAATATTGGTTTTGGTTCACTATTTTCTAATAAGCTACATCTTGAATGGAGTATGTTTGGCATTTCCCACTTTGTTCCTTATGACTTAGTCTACAAACCAGGAACCAGTATAAGAACTCTTCCTACTGAACACAAAGTGACCCTTTATTACAGTTATGGATCTTAAATAATCACAGGATACATTTGTATTTACTACCTAAACTCCATAAGAATCTATACTGATTATTGGACCAAAGGGACATATTGGGTTTCTTATCATTTCTGGCATTGCAGAGACATTTTTCAGTAATGCTTGGAAGATCTTAACAGGTGCTATTCCTCTATCTATATTTTTTGTTGTAAGTTCACATATATTTTGAAGGGATACTGGGAAAATATCAACAATATTAATTTTTGAAAGTATCAGGACCCTTCCTTCTGGGCACAAGTGATCTTCTTCATTCTCAGAAGTCGAGGTTCATAAACTGGATCAAGTATGGAGAAGGCACTCTTTATGTGTCGAGTTAGAGTCTTGTCCCATTTGCCCTGGCATTCTCATGCTTATACTGACCAAGAAACAATGCAGTAGGCTTTTCAGTCTTCTTCCCACCTGGAAAGCCATGCTCACCTAGCCAACGTAGTAGCTGCACATAGATTGGTTATTGAATTTTCCACTAACTTCAGTCCCCATCACAGCAACAACAATCACGTTGTCTTTGAAACTTGTGACTAATGATGACTACTTATATCCTAATTAGTTCCCTGGGTTTATAGTTTTCTACTAAATAGTGAGATTCAGCACCATGGGATTTTTTAGAAAAGAATGATGAAAGACAATTTCAAGGAGGCTCAGGATGGGCCTCTTCTCAAAAACTTGTTTGTTATTGTCATGTTTTAGTAATGTATTCACTTTTTTGGACATAGGTCCTTGCTGTGTAATGCAGGCTGGTTTTGAACTTGTTGTGTGCCTTCTGACTCCCCATCTTGCTTATGTGTCAACCTCTCAAATACTAGATATAAATATGTGTAAAGGTCACTTACTGGCTGAGTTAGTAGGCTTGAAAGACAACTCCACTATCTAAATTTCCAGTCTCCCTAATCCTTTGAGTCACTGTTTCTATGGATTTTTTAAAAAAGCAGATTGATCATTTCTAACTCATTTTGTGTGGGCTAAGTTGTGGTCCATCTTTTGGGTGACAAGGCATACTCTTAAAACTTTACTAAAATTTTGATCTTCAACACGAAGCTCAGAATCTCTGCTCTGTAGACCCATGTAAATATATTCATTATGACCTAACAATGGATCACGTCTACTGTTACCCACCCTCTTAGTACCAATTTTCACATGCATTTTCTGAAGTTTGAATTGTGAATTAGGACACTCATACAGTTCTTTCAGAGAGTTGCGCACTTTTACGTGAGCTACATTTTGTGCATCTTCTCTGGAGCCATGCACATGAGTCACAGGATTCAAAGGGAAGGCAAGTTGCAGTAATGGGTCCTGAAGACCCACCTTCTTACAGGAAGACTTCCTTACAGGAGGACATGACTGTTCCGCCTCAGTGTGCAGGGGACATGGGCTGTGGGGCTGTGGGCTTCTCCTCAGTATTGGGTTTTCCTGAGTTAGGCCCGGAGTGGGTTCTACTTATGCACTTGGTTGCCCTAAGTTGTGCATGGTGTGTTGGGAGAATGGAAAACTATCCTTCCTCTGTTCTATTTTGCCTTCTGTGTTATCGTGCGATAGCCAGGTACTGGGCCCTTCCTTAAGTTCCTTAGCTGTATTCATGTGCATGGGTAGTTGAGATCCTCGCAGATGCAGGAGTTGTTCGTAAATATTCCTACTCCAAACCACCCTCCACTCCACTCCTCAGTGTAGGATTTTAAAAGTCAGGTAAATATCTTACAAAGTACTTCAGAAAGTTTCACAATGAGCAGAAGAGCACTTAGGTAATAATACATGGGAAAAGGAAACAGTGATTGAAATTTTATGCAAACATACAAAATGTCTTAAAAGCATATCAAAATAAAATAAAACAGTATTAAGTAATCATTTCATTTCATTTAACAGAATGGCTTGCATAATGATTTGCATGTGTCAAACATTATATAGCAACCATAGTAGGGAATTTCTAAAACAGGAGAAATGAAAGCAGAGCTAGAAATATCCTTACATTAGGAAAATCTATACATCTCCCTGAAACTCAGACAATAAAACACTAAAGAGGACAGAGAAAACTTAAATCAGTCAGAAAGGTGGATCCTATACACATGTATATTACAAATTAAGATGATTCTTAAGTTCAAAATCATTGGACTACAGTATGAAACATTATGTTAATTAAAAAGAAGCCCTGATGTAGAAAATAATGCCATAGAGAAGGAAAATCTAGAGATATTTATAGCTGAGTGGATGCACACTGAGGCCATACTCTTAAGTGCAATTAATAGGACACAGTGTGTAAATACTGAATCGTTTCTCTGGTGTGATACTGTAAGAATGTAAATAAGGATCAAAATGTGTAACTGAATTTGTGTAATAGGAAGAAAAGGTCTAAAGGTGTAGGGGAAAAGGAAGGGGTGGGGGAAAGTAAGAAGGGAAAAGAACAAAGAAAAAGTAAAGCGGAAACAAAGCCTTTGTAGATGGAGAGGTATGGAGCAGGTGAAGGAAGATGAGGGGATTGGCAAAAAAGAATAAAATAAGTAAAAAATAAATAAGAACCAAGTTATGTCACGTAAAGTTACAAGATCCCAATGATGAATGTAATGGTGTTGAATACTCAAGATGTGCCAATAAAATGCATAATAAAAAGAAAAGAATGTAAATTGTATTTTGCTTGGAAAGAAATAATTAAAACAAGCACCATGATCATGAAGGAAAGATTATTTATCCTAACCTTTGTTTTAACACTATCAGGTAATAGGTGTGCATCCAACACATTGAGAGAATTCTTTAGGTTATATTTCCAAGAAAAGGAACTGTATTTTTGTTATCATTTCAATTGTACATATTTACTGTCATGTCTGGAAGTACTTTCAAGCTATAAGCTTATATGTTTTGTACTTTATCTGAGTGACCAATATACGTTCATGCAATCATTTTTATCATTTAAATCATTGTTTCACATCGTTCAGTCATTTACCATAGAAAAAACAAAACCAGCTTGGTAACTTTGTATGCCAGAGAAAGTTTCTGTGTGTTCTTTTTGCAGCATCCCTGTAGATTCCAGGAGGAGTTCAAAATCCTGATATGACAACGAATCTGACCTGAAACGTGGAGTCTCAACTGTGCCAGGCAGAGAGGGTGCCTGGCAAATCTCCCAGCTGTGCTGTCAGCGGGAAGAACCAGACCATGGGCCCAAGCTCTCTGAACTCCCAGGCCTTGTCTTGGCTGGGCAGTGGGAGGGAGAGGACTGTGGAGGCCTCCGAGCAGGGAGGCGAGGCCAGGGTGCTGCAGCTCTGAGGGGAACAGAAGCCCTGGGACCCCACGTGCCCAGCTGTGCTGCCGACTCAGACGCCCGTCCACTCTGAGACCTCCCCGGCCAGGCGGTTCCCCGGTGCAGTGTGAAAATCGCCTTTGGCGTTTGCATCCCTCCCTTTCTCCCCGTTGCCCTTTCGCTCCGCCTGCGTGGATGTGAGCAAAACCAGCGGGATTTCTCACTGATCTCACAGCCGGGTTCTCAGTCGCAGTTCTCGGGTCTCAGTCTGCGAGGCAGATGTGAGGACACTGCCCTCAATCCCGTGAGATTGCTTTTCCTGTGTCACACTCACTGGTCTCTCATACACTACCTCAGTACTGAGGGGGCACCGTCTCCCTAGTTTGAAATGGTTTCAGGGTCCTACGTACTACAATGCATGTGGGGGGCTTTCTCCTCTCCTCTGCCTACCACATTAGAGATACTGGACACGGCTCTCATCCGGGGCACTGCCTAAGTCCTGCTCCTCCCTGTTCTCCTGAGGCCGAGGCAGAGGGGATTTCTGAGATGGCCCCTGAGCTCACGCTGTCCCAATCCAGAGAGAAATCCCGGCAGTGTCACTGCTGCTCCAGCTTATGACACTGAGCTCCAGACTCGTTCTCCTCAGGACGGTTCTCCGTCCTGTCACAAAGCCAGCGCTCACAGAACACGCAGATGTGTCTCTCCCGGAGATGGGGCAGGGAACTCCCCTCCCCACCCCAGCAAACCTTCCCTCATTGCCTGCATGGATTCCTTTTGCTACTGTGCGCGTCCTTCTAAAGGCCAATATTTCTGGGCCTTCCCTGGTGCCAGCTCACCCAAGTTGCGATGTAGTGACTTTGAATGGTTCCTTTACCACATTTGTCCTGGAATGTGTGGTATCTCTCATGTGAGTGACACAGTGTGTAAATAATTTGATCATCAAATAGACTTGTTTTGAGAAAGTGACCAAAGAATTTCTATAAAATGAAAAGGGAAAGACAAGTGTAAATATTTATTATCATTGTTATTTTAACTGCTTGTAGTCCTCTCTCTTCTGCGGGATTCTAAAAACAGCATTTTTAACTTCTCTGCTTCTGAGATTGTAGATGAGAGGGTTCAGCATGAGGATCACAATCGTGTAAAACACAGAAGCCAGCTGATCCCTGCCCGAAGAGTAGGATGACTTCTGTTTTAGATAAGTGAAGATCATAGTGCTGAAGAAGATGGTGACTCCCAGGAGACAGGAGGCACAGGTGGAGAAGGCTTTCTTCTTTCCAGTGTGGAATTAATTTTCAGGTTAGCGGAGCAAATGGACACAGAGGACCCAGATATGGTGATGAGGGGCAGCACTAAACTGGATGCTGGATGATA